CCATGGTACGAGTAACATCATGCTTTGGTAGCTCCATCAAACCTCACTACCTAGTGTTCCGTACCCTTGCATGGTCATGGTACGAGTGCGATCATGTCTGATGGTTGCAACAAACCTCCCTATTGCTTCTGTTGTGTTCACTGCCCTGCAAGGTCATGATACGAACAATGTCATGCGGATGGTTGCATGACCTCCCTAATCCCGCATTATTTGTTGACTGCCGTTGCAAGGTCCTGATGGCTTGAGACCTGCCTTCTCCTCCTGCAATGTTCACTACTCTTGCGTGGTGATTGTCTTAAGTGCTGCTGTCCTGGCCCTTGGCCAGCTTTCGTTGGCCTTTGCTTGCCCTCTTTCTGTTGTGTTGCTGTTACAGTACATGCAGGTTGAGGAGCAGTGCCCCGGGCTTTGGACCACTGACCTGCTTCGAACTACGGAGGCTTGGACCCAATGTTGGACCTCACTGCTTCACTGTGCGGAAACATGCGTGTTTCTCTTACAAGCTTGAGTTCCTGGCGGCCGCATTGCACCTCTGGGGCAGAAACTGCCGAATCGCCTTGGAATCTTAACTTTAAATGCCATCTTTGCCGATTTCGGAATTATGCCAACAGTCAAGTCGTAGAAGGTCCAAAGCTAAATTTGAGCAGAAGCCAAAATGAATCTGTACTCCAGGAGCTCAGGGGAAGCATTGGCGAGGCCTCCCCTTCGTTGGTCAGGGTGGGATCATGGATTCGGCCGCAGAGTGTCAGCTTTTTGTTTCAATTTGTGAAGCTGACCGAACTGAGCTGTGTGAAGCAGGATGCGAGTGTCGATGTCAAGGTGCTGCCGCTCTCTACTCCAGGCTGCGCGCAGTGCTTTTGCCATGCGTTATTATGAAGCCTCTCCCTTGGCCAGCAACGTACTTCAACCCCCCCTCACCCCCCGGATCGTCACAATATCAGATGCAGGCCAGCCAGAATCGCATGCACAATCCCAGCAGGCATGTCGCCCGCCCAGCCGCGTTCACCTCCTTTGGCTTAAATACGTAACAGAAGGGCTTTGACTTGCAGGTACTAGTGGCGAGAGGCTTCAATAATGTTTCCCCATGGATCCGGCGTGCTGAAAAAGGCCGGAGCCACTGTGAAGCCTTCCAAGTTCCGGTTTGCGGACGCCATTGGTACCAATGGGACGGCTTTCGACATGCAATGTGCTCGATGTAGTTGCGCAGCAGCATGGGTATCCACAGCTACAACTCCAAGATGTTCCAAGACCAACGGAGCACGCTGCACTGAGCTGACGAGACACGTCACTTTGCGAGTTGAGAGCATGGCCCAAACACTTCATGCCGCCGGCAGTCTGGTACGACGCCATAGCATCCCATTCTTCGCGATCTCATCTTCTCTTCGCCGTTGAGGCGTTGATCAAAGAAGCATGCTGTACCACCAGCCGCCTGTCAACGGGCCGGGACGATTTCATGCAGCTGCAAGATCATCCGTCTCTTCTGAAGGTGGCCGCGTTACCGCATTCATGTCGTAGTGCTGTGCAAAGCGGCCCATTCTCCGCAATCTCGTCTTCTCGACGCCATCGAAGCGTTGGTGAAGGAAGCCTGCTGGGCGACTAGCCGCTCGCCACCCGACAGGCAGAATATTGTGCAGCTGTCAGGTAGCATGAGAGTTTGGACAAGCAACTTCAGGCCAGCATCTGCAACATCTTCCGTTTTTTTCTGGAGGTGGCTGCATTGCCGCCTTCATATCGTAGTCGTCCAGGTCGGGGCTGTAGCCCGCCTTTGAAGGTGGCAATGCAGCCACCTTCAAAAGAAACGGAAGATGTTGCAGCTGCTGACTCTCATGCTACCTGATACAACTGTCTCACGATGCATGCGCAAGGTACGTCAGCTGTCGAAGCCCCTTCAAGAAGCGCACTGGTGCGTTGTCACTGGTGCGTTGTTTCTTGATGCGCTGGATTGGATGGTTTGTTCAGAATTAGGAGCGCATGGGTGATGTGATGTTGATCCTTTAGAAAGTCCTGGCTATGTCACATATCTGACGCGGAGACCAACGGAGCACGCTGGGAGCGGAGCTGGGTGCATGCTTTGCAAGTTGAGAGCATAGCTCAAACACTGCATGCCGGCAGGCTGCCTCGACGCCATTGAGGCATTAGCTAAAGAAGCTTACTGGGCAGACAGCAAGCTGCTTCAACTAATGCCTCGATGGCGTCGTAACCCGACAACGGGCAGGGACGACTTCATCCTGGTCGAGCATCCTAAGTTGCAGGAGAAAGGTTCTGCAGTCTGATCCACCGGACTGAGGCGCTGCCGAGCCGCTGGACTCACGGGTGTGCGGATTCAACCCCGTGCCAGCTTGAACTCGCGGCAGGCTGAACATCCAGAGATATCCCGTGTGTGCGCCGCCACCACCGCCGCCGTGAAGAAGAAGAAGAAGAAGCACTGATCCAGTTTGCAAACTGCGCGAGCATGCGAATCAGAGTGTCTGGTTGATGTCTTCAGCGATGCAGACCAGCTTCCCCCAAAGCTGACGCATGCTGACGCCTGTGGCACAATGCAGGGGTTGCTTCAGGCCGTGGTCCAGCGTCGCGAGCACTTTTTGCGCTCCTGTGGTTGAACAGCACGTCACACCTCCCGCGACTATATGAAATGCAGGAACGCAGCACATCGAAAACTGTGCCAAGGCATTGAACCTCACTTATTTTGGCTGTTGAGTGTCTGGACCTTCAAGTCCAAGGATACTGTCTCAGCGAAAGGGGACGGATGCGCCGAGATAAAATCCAGGGGCTTGTGGCCCCAGATTCAGATTCATACAGGTTTTAATTTTCAGCATGGTCAGCGTTTGTTTGAGAGTTAGATCCCCAAACTTTATGTTTCATTGTTGGTCAATGTTGGTCATTATAGGGGTCAGACCCCTAGGATTTCATTTCAGAATTGTTGCTCAGATATGAGCCGACCGGTGTCCCAACATCGCTCATGTTTGAAGCCTCAAGCCCCTAGAGATTTAATTTCCTGTGGGGTCAGGCCCCAAGGATTTTATGGTGATAAAATCCTGGGCCTGACCCTCCCATGTATGTCCAACCCCTATCTCAGCGGAATTCTGGAGTTTGAGCTCAATCAGTAGAAAACACTAGAAAGTCAAAGGCAGGCAGGCCGGAATCGCAAGCACAGTCTCCGCAGACATGTCGCCGCATTTTTTCCACGTTTGCCCTTTTGGCTCAAACACATAAGGGCTTTCACTTGCAGCGGCCTCAACTACTTGCAGCAGGCTGCAAGTATGTTTTCCAAGTTAGCGAGGCGCAACGTGCAAGGCCGGGGCAGCCCCGGCCTTGCACGCTGCGCCCCGATAATTTGGAAAACATATTTGCAGCCCGCTGCAAGCTGTAATGGCTGGGGACGGCCACAGCCTGGCGGCCATCCTTCCTGAAGGCCTGGGCGCCCACGTTCATGCGGCTCTTCTCCTGAAGAGTACGGAAACACTCCATGCGGACTACGGCTCCCGGATCGAAGCGTTTGCAGCCCATCAGCTTGCCAACCAAGTAAGGCTGCAGAAGTTGCAGGAGAAAGGTTCTGCAGTTCGATCAGAATGAGGCGCTACCGGTCCCTTGGACTCACAGCTGTGCGGATTCACCACTGTGCCAGCTTGAACTCGCGACTCGCAGCAGGCTGAACGTCCAGAGATATCCCGTGTGTGCGCCGCCACCGCCGCCGTGAAGAAGAAGAAGAACTGCTCGAGGATCAATCGGAGACCAGTTTACAAACGCCAGAGTGTCTGGTTGATGTCTTCAGCGCAGAGCAGCTTCCCCCCAGGCTGCTGATGCCTTGGGCGCGCTGGGCTGCCCCTTTCTTGCGCATCGGTTACGTCCTTTCTAAAACAGAACCTACTTGTACGGCGACTGTTTGGAATGCAGGAATCCGGCACATTGAACAGTAAGCCAAGACAGTGGACCTCAATTATGTTTTGACCGTTGAATGTTTGGACCTACAAGTCCAAGGAAAGTGTCTCAGCAAAATGATTCTGGACTTGAGCTTGCGCAGATTGTTAGAAAGTCAGAGGCAAGCGGAATTGCAAGCACATTCCTAGCAGACATGTTGCCCGTATTCCATCCCCATATGCCCCTTTGGCTCAAGCATGCCACAGAAGGGCTTTCGTTTGCAGCGGCTTCAATTACTTGCAGCGCGCTGCTAAAATGTTTTCAAAATTATCGGGGCGCACCGCGCAAGGCCGGGGCCACTGCGAAGCCTTGCAAGTTCCGATTTGCAGAGTTGACGCCATTGTTACCGATGAGCCGGCTTTGGACATGCAATGTTCAGATGTGGTAGTGCGCTGCAGATGCAGGTAGCTGCTAGTTGCGTGGCAACACCATGGGTATCCACAGCTACAGCTCTAAGAATAACGGAGCATGCTGCAAGGAGCTTCGCAAGTTGAAAGCGTGGCTCAAACATTGCGTGCCGCCGGCAGGGTGGTACGACGCCATTGAGGCGTTGATCAAAGACGCCTGCTGCACGACCAGCCACCCGACAACGCGGCGGGATGATTTCATCCTCGTCGAGTGTCTTGTCCAACACTGGGCTGTGTGTGCATGATTTGGAGGGTGGGTGCGTCGTCGTTGCAGTAGCTGCGCACAAAGGGTGGCAGGGGATGGCTCCGACACTGAAGTGGAAGCGCCGAATCCTCAGAATTGGCAGGCCAAGTAGGTCTACATCCACTGCACCTTTGCAGCTCTAAGACTTTGAAAAGCTCCAAACACTTTCCTGCACCCCTAGAACAGAGATTAATCTCTAAGTTGGATACAGGCTTCCACCGCCGCCCCCGCCACCGAAGAGGAGACGGGATCGGGGAGAATGGGCCTCTTTGCGCAGCAATGAAGCATACTGGAGGGGTGGGGTCCAGCTGTCCAGCTCCCGTGATACTGTCAGAGGCCTTCCAGGAAGTGTCAGTGATTAGGGTTCGAGCACATGAATCAGAACACCCAACAGCAAACCCATGCGAAATCAGTTGTGCTTGCTGTCTTCCAAGGCGAGTTACAACCCCGACCTCGATGAGTACGACATGAAGGCGGCAACGCAGCCACCGCCAAAAGAAACAGAAGATGTTGCAGCTGCTGGTCTAAAGGTGTTTGTCCAAACTCATGCTACCTGATACAAGGTAACTATAGGTAACTCTATGACAATGCATGCGCAAGGTAGGTCGGAGTTGTCAGAGCTGCCGCAAAAACAAAAAACGCACTTGCACGCTGTTTGTTGATGCGCTCGGTGATTTGTTCAGGATTACAGCACGGGTGATGTGATGTTGATTTGACTCCTACACATCGTACCACTGGCCAGATGACAAAGCCAGCTCTCTTGGAGCTTGCAGTAGTTCTCGGTCAGTGCCGCTGAAAACGTGGCTCTGGGTCAAGGTTAAGGTTGTTAAAGCAATTCTTAAGATCTGCGGGCCCCCACCCTTAAGATTGTTTCAATCAATAGCAATCATCCTCCCTCCAGCGCCCCCCGCAAAAAAGCCTCAAAGAATTGACTAAGGGGGAGGCGCCCATCCCAGACCCTAAGGTTAAGCCCTTAAGCAAGTCTTGCAGTTTCATTTCATTCGAAAGCTGTTGCTCAACACCTCAGCCTTGTATCTGCATGGCTCCTTCTCTGTCTTCCAACGCTGCCTCTAGCTATTGATGGCATTTTCCAAGGACAGGACCGCAGTGTGCCAGATTTTGCACCTGGCGGGGAGAGTATCCGCAGGCATCGTGAGCCTGGCTGACGGGTTAAGCTCTGAGGTAGACGGGTCATTCAAATTGACGGGACAAGTAGTGTCAGGAGGGGTTCAGACAAATTCATTAATTGATGCTAAGGCATTCCAGCACGCATCGTTTGCACTGCAGGTGGTGATGCGCATGTGGTCCACCACTATGCCCATCTCATCCAGGCTGCCAGCACAGGGCGGGTCAGGTCTGCAAGCTGTTTGGAAGCAAAACCTCATTGCATGAGAGTCCAGGGATGAGAAGCAGCTTGTGGGCTGGACACGTCTCAGACATTTCAGCTTGGAAAGCACCGCTTACTAGCCTGTGGACTCTCTGTGCAGTATCACTGGTTGCTGTGTAAACGTTGTAGGACATGGAATCTGAGCTGTCGAACGCTTCGCGCGTGACTCGGCCAGCATTACAAGGCGCAGGCCAAGGCAGTAGCGCAAAGCATCTGATGATGTGGCACCTCTGCTGGAAGCTGCCTGCTAGCCAGATTCTCTCGGGAGTCTTTCGGGCTAGGGCAGATGAGCAGTGATAGGCGCTAAGGGAAAGTTAAGTAGGTACGGAAAAAGCTTCGCAAATCGGCCGGCAACAACTTCCGAAAAGTGGTTCCCACTGTGAGCGCGGAAGCTCCCGGAAGCTTTTGCGGAAGCTCTTGCAAAGCTATTTTTTCATCCTCCATGTACGCTCGGTTTTGGATGGATAACGCCACTGACTAGAAACCCCTTTCGGAAGTGCCGCGTAAGCACCTTAGACGAAAACGTCCGCAGAAGAGCCCGCGGAAGCACAGCGTCGGAAAACCTTCCAGAGGACTCGCGGAAGGTCCGCGGAAGCTCGTGGGCGGAAGCCTGATTTTTGCCATCAAATTCATATACCTATTGTTTTTAACCGCTCAGAGGCACATGTCTGATGTTTGCCTGCAGTTGCCGGTCAATTGAGCTGGCAGACAGGCCTTGCTGCACCAGCACACGCGCCGTCGCCGGTCAAGCCAGGACTTGGGCGAGGACTTGGGTCGATTTGCCTGACTGTGAGGCTTCAGGTATGTCCAGCATCAGACTTAGTTGTGTCCCATGCCGTCCACGCTGGTGCCCCCCCCGCTGGGTCAGGACTCTTCCAAGGAGAAATTGTCGGAACGCACAGCATCTACGGGCTCCTCGGAAGAGGGAACTCTAGATGGCAAGCTGTCGTAGGATCACATGCAGAGGCGTAATGTAGATCATTGTAGATCATCAGCAACATCGTAGTTAGGCGTTGCGGATACACTGCTGATCATCCATCATCCATCATTGGTGAGCCATCCTTCGAGCCGTGTATCCTTCGCGGTTTAGCCGAGGCCTGTTGGATGATGAGTGGTGCACTCTAGAGAGTTCCCGCGAGGTCGAGGTCAGCTATGGTCTGGGGTCTAGAGCTTGCTTTTGAAAGGCTCCATGCAGCCTCAACGTGAGCTGACCTTGGTTTTTCCGTTTGTGCGGGTCATCGAAGTGGAAGCTGCCCTTTTGGGTTCTGTAGATTTACGTGAGCTGCCCAGAGGAGGACGATGACGACTGGCTGCTCGTGGCCGTGCAGGCCTAAATCTGCGGAGGCAGGAGGAGAAGGGATCGAACAGCAGCAAGACTGACGCAGACTGCTCTGAATTGTGGGGAGTTTTGCGAGAGAGGGGACCGTCGCATATCGCGAATCTAGCAGTTCAGCTGCACCTCTGTTGCCGCAAGGTTGACGACGTTTGGCTCCCGTTAGACGCAGCCAAGTGAATCCTTGGGCAATGCCCAAAATTCTTCCAGCCTGGAGAGACTGAGCAACGGCCCAGCTTCTCCGGGCACTTTGCAGCTCGACCGAATCCCCAATGTTGTTGGAGACTTGGCCAAATTCGCACGTGGGGCACAATGTCCCTAGAGAAGGAATTCATCACGTTGGCGCACTAAGTGCTGCCTGCCATACTTCCGCCTGACCCTCCGCATAGTGATAGCAAAAGTGCTCGCCCCTCGCAGCATTTGGAGTGAAAAATTGGAGTACATATTTCCAGATTGCCAACGTACACCAGTATGAGGCGCCGCAGAAAATCTGCAGCACCTCAAGAAGCGGCTGAAGGCAGGAGCGGCTTCGATTTGCCGCTTCGTTTTTCCATTTGGAGCTTTGTTCAGCTTACTGGTTGTTGGTAGGGAACACGGGAATATAATCTCCATTTCATGGTAATCCCTGTACAATGATTTCCTTCTTCCATATTGACCCCGGCAAGTCAGCAGCAGTTGGAGTTCCAAGCTACTGTATAACCTTTGCTATATCTTGTTATATATCTTGTTATTGTTTCCATGTAATTTTCCATTCTGTTTTCCACTATTTGATGTCCCAACATATTGTAATTTCATGTGTTTCCCACGACCCCAGTACTTGCCCTGTAATATATGTAATAGTTCCCATTTTGTTTTCCATTATCCCTAATATGACCCCAATATATTCCCTTGTTCCCTACTCACCCTAAACCGGCAACCCTAAACCCTACATCACCACTGGGTTGGAGTTCCAAGCTGACAGGAAGTCGTGCGGAGGGTCGCCCTGGCATCTGGATGCTACATAGAGCTGCTGCGCCCGGCAGCCAAGCGCAGTTGCTGTGCGTGTGCTAAGAGGGCATTTGCTGCTTGTCTTGAGCTGAATGAGATTAAGTGGTTAGCGCAATCACCAAACATCTTCCTCTCTTCACATTTGTATTTGTCTGTCCCCCGAAGTGTTTGTATACGGAACAAAGTGCGTGCGGACAGCCGATCCATAGGGTAGGGGTTAGCGAGCGGCTTCGCATTCACTACCCCTCATTACATAACGTCATGAACAGCGACTTACTGCGATCCATAGGGTATGACCCCCTCGTTCCATGGGGCATGGATCAACAAGTTTGACTGGCTGAGCAAAGGCCGGAACATCCACATCTCTAGCTCTCCTTTGTAGTTTGCATAGAATGTCCAGACAATCTGAGCTGTCGCGAGATCATGCTTGATTCTTGATCTAACTTGCAAAGGGAGATGTCTCCAATGTGCACGAAGCCTCTCTGTCAGGTCGTTGGGCAATCTTGATGGTGGGTTCGTCTGAGGAAAGGAGCAGAGGCTTGAGCTTGATCCCTGCAGACGGGATAGTTTCCGCAAATAGATAGACCCCATGGGGACCCCCAAAGAGGCACCCTTAATTTTGGGAAAGCCTACCATTCATCTTCTGCCTGGCATGGTACTGTCCTTTGTGGTTACAGATCCCGTGTGAATGCTTCTCAAGAGGGGGGCTGCATAGGCCTCATCACAATCCCCGTGCAAAGCCAGGATCCCTGAAGTCGCTCAAAGGTACCCCCCCACTATGGGATTATATGGGGATGATGGAAAAGAACATGGAAACTATCATAATGGGTTATAGAGGGTTTATATATATAGAGAGATTACATCAACAAGCAGACCTGGAGGCATGGAGTATTTTGAGTGGTTGGCATCTGAAGAGCCCGGGACTTGGAAGGTAAAGGAGCTAATCGCTTGAGCCGCAGTGAGGCTGTCGAAACACAAGGGGCTTCAAACAAGCAGCTGCTGTTGACAAGATTGCAATAGACATTACCCAAGAAAAGCAGAATTTTTTCTGTGACTGCTGACTTGTAGGTCTTTAAGCTCCATCCAGATGAATGCTTATCCAAGGCGCGAACGTAGCCGTGGTGCTCAAGGGCCTACCACAAGTACGACCACAGGGCAGGCATCGCACGTTGGAAAGCACTTGCATCTGGATGATGTTGGGCTTACTTTCGCAAGCTCAACTAGCCAGTGAAGACTCGAAGAAGGTCTTGGTTGCCCAACTTCTCGTTGATTTGGCTGATACACTGGCTGCACTTAAAAGCCATGCCCCTGGCGTTCGGCGCAGGAAAACCGTAGACCTCCGTGGACAGTCAGATAACCCCAAATCATCCCCACTCTACAGCCAGGCCCCGAAAACACAAAAAAAAACAGCAAATCTTCATGCCTCAAAAGCCTGGCAGCCTGGCCAGGACGCTGTTCGCTGGACGGACAGTGATGGAGATCAGCTGCTCCTACGTCTAGGAGAACGGCAATGGCAGCTTCCCTGCACAGGTAGTTTTTTCCAGTCGATGGGGTTGTGCTCCGTCTTGTCTTTGAGTGAGGATGCGGGAGGCGTGTTGAAGCCTTTGGCTTTCTTCCTGGTGTCCATTCCATTCCTCGACAAGTTTACTGACCTATCGGTTCCTGTCACCATCTGGTGAAATCAAAGTTTTGCCGGTGTCTTTGGGGACCACCTCTGAGAATATGCCATCATGAAGATTAACCACTCGGATTATGTCAACATGCTGAAGCAAGACAATCTGCAGAATTGATGGGCTTCCCTGGCTGTGTGTGATTCCAGCTGCTAAGTCTGGACTTCTTCCTGAATGGCGTTTGCAAGGTGGGATTGCATGTTTTTGGAACACTGCGCCAGTGAGCATGTCAGGTTAGGAACCATCCGGCGCCAATCCCGTCTTTCTCAAGATCAAGATATTAAAATGGTCGTATCCAGAAATTGGGGGGCCCCAATATAGACCCCAATATACGACCGTCCTAATTATAGGGACCCCCAGAAAGGTACCCCTCAATTTCGGAAATCCCCACATCCCCAAATCATAGGTTAATGAAGCCAAGACTGGAAAGTGCAACTGCAGCTAGCATATTCGTTCCTGCAGCAAAAGCGCAGAGCATCTTAACCAAAGTCAGATTACTGGATATAATGCGCGGCCAGCGAGCGAAGTCCCAAAAAGAAGTACTGGAACAGGTCCGAGACATCACCACCCTGGTGGCAGAGGGCGACACCCTGCGCCTGCGCTGCCGGCACATTTCAGTATCACACCCGCCACGAGTCCAAAAGCTTGGCCATGTGTCATACGGCAACTTCAGCCTACAACGGCCTTGGTCGGCATCAACCAGCTGGGCCCCTTCTGCATCTTGAAGCTTGCGATGCGCCCTCTCTCTCTCTCCCCCTCTCCTGGATCAGCACGAGACGGCTCACAAAATTGCAGGCGCGGCATGGGGGCTGCCGGTGCCACGACGCGCTGTCCAGAGCGGCCGCCGGATAAAGAGGTCTGTTGGGCAAACATACATGTTTGGACAGTCCCCACAAATACCTGTCGTCAGGCGGTTGACCATGCCATGGCCTTGTTCCAGCGCAGTGTCCGGGCTCGCTCTGGCGATGCCGGACTTCAGCGGAGTGTGGCCACCTAGTGCCCGGAAACCTTTGACAGCGGTTCAATCGCAGCTGGAAGAGAGGATGGGACGCCTGAGGCGACGTTATCGTTGTGGAGACAACTTGCCAACAAGCAGTCGCTTGCTCGCACTTGAAGCGTGCAAGCAGAAGAGATTAGTCGCTTGATATCTCTTGATTCAAGGGGCCCCTCAAAAAGAGGCCCAGCATGAATCATGCACCTTCGCATTGATCTTCCATCCTGAGGTCCTCCAAACTTGACATTTTTGCGTGATACCTGGCCTTCAGCCCCCTATCGCCGCAGCAATCCCAAGAACTTTAGTTGTAGCATTTTGCAATCTGCGCAAGACAGAAAGAGAGTAAGTCCACAGTTTCCACAGTCTTCTCCAATTTCAGAGCACTTGCAATTGTGGCCTCCAGAGCCCTCCCAGACATCGCCTTGACAACTACTGACCCGCACCAACTACAAGGACCGCTGTTGTGTAGTACACCCGTAAACAATGATGCTCCTGGTGGAGCATGTAGGGGAATGTGAAGAGTTGGCGGTAATTAGATACTGCCACCAAAAGCATTCGAATGAAGGGCACAGATGCTTGTTGCTTTTACAGCTCTGTATAATTTCTACATTATATGAAACTCGGTGCCCACTGCAAACCTCGACTGACTCAAAATTGCTATAGGCTGCTTTCGTCTAGGAACCTTAAGCCCTAATGCCATTTTTTATTTGCAAGTTTCCAAAACTTCCGGTCCTATCTTGGGGCATGGGGATCCCTATCTTTGGAAACCATCATGTTGAGGTGTGGTTGGAGCCAGTGGAGCTCCGCGAGCCGAGCTTACATTCCCTGAGAGTCCGCAGTTCAGCTGAGACGAGCAGAAGCAGAAAAAAGAAGCAGAAGAAGAGGTCAAACAGGTATACAGATTTTACCCATTGCTTTTTTCGTGACGCTGATAATCTTCAGCTTCTGCTTGCTTCCTGGGCTGCTAAACTTGAGCCAAGGCTCGGATTTGAAATGGTTTTTGATGATGCACTTCCTGGCCAGTCTCTTGCTCCTGACTGAGGCTCTTGAGCAAAAGACCAAGACCCTAGCAGAGCCCTGAGTTCTTCAAGGCTCTCTCGGAGGGTGGTTCGGGAGCATCCTATTTCAAGATTTCGGGATATATTTCTGCTACCGCCCGGCCGCCTTGGCCATGGGCCATGCTGCTACTTCTGCTGCTGTGGGTACAACAGATTACGTGGCAATCCAGTGGTCAAACAACATTTGTTGCTGGAGCAGTCGGCGATACTGAGTTCGGCATCTAGGTTGTTGCGACCCTCCAACGCATCGTCCTGGAGCTGAGCACTGCATTGGTCCGAACAATTCACAGGATCACCCAGAAAGGCTCAATCGGTAGGAACCAGTTTTGCAGGACACCTATGCTTCCACTAGAATTGGGCTTACGCCTGACAGGGGCATTTGGAAGATTTTCTGCCAACAAATTCACGACAAAGTCTCCTCATCTCCTAAAGCCCGCCTAGAGGGTTGAGATGGGGCACTACCGGATCATGCCTAGAGGCCGGTGGCCTCGTTGGACTTGCTCATCCCCTAGCATCCCTCAGGCGATGTCACAAACTACTTGGCCTTCCTGGAACCGAGGTGGTGTTCCCAGAAGGCTGCGGAAGCAACAGCGACTGGCGTCCTGAAGCTCAAAGCTCAGGCACTGGCTCTATGGTTTATTATGTTTCACAATGTATCAGACATGACTAAAAGCACGTCTCCACGCAACCCTTTCCTGAAAAGCTTCGAATAAACTGGGTTGACAGCGACACTGAGGCCGTTTGCAAGATTCTGGTCACTTGGCTTATTTTGGCAAGAAGCAGCGATTTTCCAGTATGCCTTCAACTACTGTAGTTGATCATGGGTGGGGCAGATTATGAGGAGCTCTTTTGCAGTGCTGACTTCCGTCAGACTTTTTGCAAGAGGAAGAGCCTGGAAGCACTTGGTACACACACACACGCGCGCACACCCACCCACCCACCCACCC